AGGGAAGATTGAGAAGCTGAATACGTACTCTTGTTTCCTGGGTATGGGGCTGGGGATACTCAGAAGAGTTTCACACATTGGTTCAGACATTTCTTTACGACCACCACCAGGTGGCACCACTGGCCCAAAATGACTGGGTTTCTGCCCAGAATCAGAAGGGAAGGTGTTGAGAGCCCGCTGCTATGGGGGTAGCATGGAGGTAGGATACAGGGGGTGGAGGTGATACAATTTCGTTCTTTCCTCCAACGTCGCCTGCTAGTCTAGAGGCTTTTATAAATTGAAAAACTAATTCTTTTATCATCTCATCTGATGGTTTTTATGTTTTTCCTTTTTTCTCTCTATGCCTGTAGTTTCTTCAGAAACAGGTAACATGTTTCTAATAGTCACTTTGTATTCTTGCATCTTGTTCTTACAGTGCTTTTGTTTCTCACCATAGGGGATGATGGAAAATTAATATACTTTGACTTAGGGCATTGGTAAAATCTGCATGCAAATTCCCACAGTTACCTGTAGATTAGAGCCAGTTGTTTTTTCTGAACTTTGCAGGAATCCTGGTTACAACATTGTACTATTTACTGCCAACAATGTTTTTTTTAAAATCCAGACTTGCTGGGCATGGCAGCTCATGCCTGTAATCTCAGTGACTTGGGAGGCTGAGATGGGAGGATTGCTTGAGCCCAGGAGTTTAGGGCTGCAGTGATTGAGGCACTGCACTCCAGCATGAGTGACAGAGCAAGATCCCATCTCTTAAAAAAAAATTTAAGAAATAGAAACAAAAATCCAGACTTGTAACCATTGTAAAATAAATCAGAATTTACGATAGTGGATATTGGTAATAGTGCAGAATGGATACCCAGATCTTTTTTTTTTTTTTTTTGAGACGGAGTCTCGCTCTGTCACCCAGGCTGGAGTGCAGTGGCCAGATCTCAGCTCACTGCAAGCTCCGCCTCCCGGGTTCCCGCCATTCTCCTGCCTCAGCCTCCCGAGTAGCTGGGACCACAGGCGCCGCCACCTCGCCCGGCTAATTTTTTGTGTTTTTAGTAGAGACGGGGTTTCGCCGTGTTAGCCAGGATGGTCTCAATCTCCTGACCTTGTGATCCGCCCGTCTCGGCCTCCCAAAGTGCTGGGATTACAGGCTTGAGCCACCGCGCCCGGCCTGGATACCCAGATCTTGCTTCCTTTCTAGCTGATGATGCAATGTTGACCTGAAATGCATTACTTATATAGCCAGGGTTTTCCTCAGCATCCTGATGCTACAGCCTCATTTTGTACTAACTCTCCACTTCTGCACATCTTCCCCTAAGTCTTTACTCATCTTTAAAAAGAGCTACTTTTGGTGAAATTTTAAAATCAAGGAATATTCTTTATAGAATCACACTTATGTGTTTCCCCTTCCCCATTTCTGCCTCGAAACCAGACCAGACTGCTCCATAACCTGTGAATACTTTTTTTTTAAGTTTGGTATTGTTAACAGAAAATTTAAGATTAAAATGTAGCATTGAGAAAAATAGATTTATTAATAATGTCCTCTTAACACAGCTTAAATTCTGGTCAGTGGAATAAAGCCTGGGCCACTGAAGTTTTAGATGCTTACTTGCTTTTCCACACTGGTTCTTACTTGGGGATCCTTTTAGAAATTCGTTTATAATAATATCATAAAAACATATTTAAGCTACTTTGTGTGTAAATTTGGGGTCTTTTGATTTGAAGATAGCTTGACTCAAGATTTTCTAAATATTTTCACACACATACATACCCTGTAGTGAGAAAAATTCATCTATTTATATGGTTCTATAAAAATCTCTAACTGCTTTGAGCTTTAATTTCTTGAATCAAAAGTGTATTGTCTTTGATGCTGAGCTTCTATCTAAATAAATGCTTTATTTACTTAAATGTGTGCTTTTCAAAAACTAGTAAGATTAAAACATTAACAGGATCTTACATGTAAAGGAACAGTCCTGTTGCTTCTTCCAGAAGATAATATGACTGGTTTGAAATTTTCCTGTAGTATAGTTTTTTGTCTAGTGTTGTAAGAATTAAAGGAATTTCAGGATCTTAAAGTAGGTTATTATTTGATGTTTTCTTGGAACATTTTACATTCTTGAAAATACACGTGGCTAAATTAATTTTTGCCAACAATCCACATAACTTTAAGATAGTGTAGAGTAGGACTTGATTCAGGTTAGTATCAAATAAGATCATATTTTTAGTGCCATCAGTAGCTTTCAGCAAAGATGAGGTGTTGGTAAGATAGCATTAGTCTCTTGGAATCTCTTACGGAGATTTTCCAAAATTCAGCCATTTCTAGTGAATGCTCCATTCCACCCCCATCTGAGTCTTGCTACTCTGGGGAACTCCCTCAGCACACTCTTGGCTCTTAGAATTGCTAGCAGTGGGAGTAGTGCTGCTGGTGGAGCTGGCAGCTAAGCCCAGAGGTGGATTGATGCTTTTATTTCCTGATGTACAGGTACACACACTCATACCTACCCACACCTAGTTTGGGATAAGAAGAGGTTAGAATTAGTTAGGCTTGAAGTTCCGTGCTTACATTTGCTGGCTCAAATTTCTTATTTTGGCATCACTTTGCCCATTAGGGAGACAATGACAGTTATAGAAGCATTGCCAAATAAAAAATTCCTCTGGAGTAACCTCTTGTTAGGAGTATTGTGTGTTTAGTTGTTGATTCGTCCCTTCCTCCTCTTAGTGGCAACTTGCAGTACTGGGAGGAAACAGTGGCTGGGAGCTTAATTTCCTCAGCAGAGCCAGATCAGCAGAAGTATTACTCCTTAGTTCGTAGTAGGTGGTACCCTATGGGTCCAGTCATTTAAATGCAAACCTATATCTACAGAGCATTTCCTAATGCCGTCATTGCCCAGTGGTCCTTTATTTAGCTGAGTCTAACTCCCAACTAGAGAAAATTTCCTTTGCCAGACAGCAGTATGGTCAGCTAAACATGTGGATGGTACATTTGCTTTCGTAAGTCAGTACTCTTCAGTAACATTAGTAGAAGAGAAGAGGACACAAAGTGAGAGTGTGTTAATAGGAAGTCCAGATACGCCTGCCACCTGAACTTTCTGAGACAGGTAATACTGTAGGGCCTGAACTTTTAGCAGAGTGGTTATATATGAAGAAGTGGGTTCTGGGAGGGGTTAAAACCACTTAGAATGGCTTTACTTTAATAATGGCAAGAGTTTGCTTGGATATTGACCATTGCACATAGACATGAATATGGAAAGTTAAAAACAAAATCCACATATATTTGGCCGCAAGTATTTTGAAGATATATCTAATTAGTACATCCATTAAACAAAAGAGATATTTTAGGCCAGGCGTGGTGGCTCACACCTGTAATCCCAGCACTTTGGGAGGCCGAGGTGGGTGGATCACCTGAGGTCAGGAGTTCGAGACCAGCCTGGCCAACATGGTGAAACCCTGTCTCTGCTAAAAATACAAAAATTAGCTTGGCTTGTTGGTGAGCGCCTGTAATCTTAGCTACTCGGGAGGCTGGGGCAGGAGAATTGCTTGAACCTGGAAGGTGGAGGTTACAGGGAGCTGAGATGGTGCCACTGGACTCCAATCTGGGTGAAAGAACAAGATTCCATCTCAAAAAAGAAAAAAAAAAGTTATTTCTGATGTATTGATAGAAATTTTCTTTTTTCTTTTCTTTTTTTTTTTTTTTTTTGAGATGGGGTCTCAGCCTGTTGCCAGTCTGGAGTGCAGTGGTGTGATCTCCACTCACTGCAACCTCCACTTCCCGGGATTCTCCTGCCTCAGCCTCCCGAGTAGCTGAGACTACAGGCGTGCGCCACGATGCCCAGCTAATTTTTATACTTTTAGTAGAGACGGGGTTTCACCATGTTGGCCAGGATGGTCTCGATCTCTTAACCTCGTGATCCACCTGCCTCGACCTCCCACAGTGCTGGGATTACAGGCATGAGCCACCGCATCTGGCCAGAAATTTTCTTGATCACTTCTGAGACACACAGAGTAATTATCTGTAATATAATTTAATAAATTATGTCAATACATTAAAATACGCTTCATGTGGACTGGGAACGGTGGCTCATGCCTGTAATCCCAGCACTTTGGGAAGCCGAGGTGGGGATATCACAAGGTCAGGAGATCAAGACCAGCCTGGCTAACATGGTGAAACCACATCTACTAAAAATACAAAAAATTAACTGGGCGTGGTGGCACGTACCTGTAGTCCCAGCTACTTGGGAGGCCGAGGCAGGAGAATCGCTTGAACCCGGGAGGTGGAGGTTGCAGTGAGCCGAGATCGTGCCACTGCATTCCAGCCTGGGCAACAGAATGTGACTCCATCTCAAAAAAAAAAAAAAAAGACTTCATGTGGCATTATGAGAAGAAAATACCTTTACTGATAGTCATCTATGATTCCATTTGCTAGATTAAATGTGAAAGCATACTCTTACTGAATGTTATATATTCCGTATCAGTTTAGATAGCAGTTTATCTTCACATACGTACGTTTTAAGTTTACCTTTATTATAGTGCATTTGTCTTTTGTTTTCATCAACCTAAATTATGTTGAATAAATGTTTCTGTTAGATTCTAAGTTAAACAATTATGTGAAATTCATTTTTTGTAATTGTTTTTTTTTTTTTTTTTTGAGACGGAGTCTCGCTCTGTCGCCCAGGCTGGAGTGCAGTGGCGCAATCTCGGCTCACTGCAAGCTCCGCCTCCCGGGTTCACGCCATTCTCCTGCCTCAGCCTCCCGAGTAGCTGGGACTACAGGCGCCCACAACCGCGCCCGGCTAATTTTTTGTATTTTTAGTAGAGACGGGGTTTCACCGTGGTCTCGATCTCCTGACCTTGTGATCCGCCCGCCTCGGCCTCCCAAAGTGCTGGGATTACAGGCGTGAGCCACTGCGCCCGGCCTGTAATTGTTTTTTAACATATGTCTTTGTTGGTGATTCATATGTGTGAGTGTAGCTGATTGCCTGACTATATGAACTTTCAACCAAAACCATTCTTTCCAGATGCTTTTACTGACTCTGCTATCAGTGCTAAAGTGAACGGCGAACACAAAGAGAAGGACCTGGAGCCCTGGGATGCAGGCGAACTCACAGCCAATGAGGAACTTGAGGCTTTGGAAAATGACGTAGTAAGTAAGATCTTTGTAATTAGTGCTAGACTCTGTGGTCAGTGTGGTATGCATATGACATCCTATCACTTGGTTGTAATTGAAGTGTGTTTTTGTTGTTGTTGTTATTGTAGTGAGTGTATTTAGAGCAGCAAGTTTGTTGTATAACTAGAGACTTTCTCCCAAGCAGTATATAAAGAAAAATGTTTGTTATTTTACTTGTAGGGATTAAGCAGGAGTACTGTCTGTTCTTGTGGATGCTCATGAATTACTTCTTTGTGATTAAACTAAGTAATAATAAGCAACTTAAGTTAAAATTAGAAATCATAGGAAATGCCAGTGTGTTTTGCTTTAACACCCTGCCAAATAAGGTAGCCTAAGGAAAGTGGTGTCTTAATTGTTGACTTCACCTAGAGATGAGGTTGAAGTAGGACATTTTAAGCTTCTTGTCTGAAGAAAAGGTTGTCATTATTAAGATAATTAGGTTACATTGGAATTAAAGCATTACATAAATTTATTGGTCTTAAATTGGGATTGTTCTCAACAGAACTCTTATTTCTAAAATGCTTCTTGTCACATACTAGTTTTGCTTCTCTCTTTAATGCATTATCTGTACTTGAAGTGCTTAGCTGGGTATGCTGGCACATGCTTGTAGTCCCAGCTACTTAGGGGGCTGAGGCAGGAGGATCACTTGAGCCCAGGATTTGGAGTCCAGCCTGAACGACATAATGAGACCCCTTCTCTTTTTTTTTTTTGAGACGGAGTCTTGCTCTGTCGCCCGGGCTGGAGTGCAGTGACCGGATCTCAGCTCACTGCAAGCTCCGCCTCCCAGGTTTACGCCATTCTCCTGCCTCAGCCTCCGGAGTAGCTGGGACTACAGGTGCCCGCCACCTCGCCCGGCTAGTTTTTTGTGTTTTTAGTAGAGACGGGGTTTCACCGTGTTATCCAGGATGGTCTCGATCTCCTGACCTCGTGATCCACCCATCTCAGCCTCCCAAAGTGCTGGGATTACAGGCTTGAGCCACCGCGCCCGGCCATGAGACCCCTTCTCTACGAAATAAAAATAAAAACAAATGCTTAATAAAGACTCTATCTTTAGGATAGAGAGCATAGAGATGCAAAGCAGTCTTTTGCCAAAAATGAGAGTTATGGTAGCAAAATTTGAGTAGAATGAAGAACCTTCCATTGAGTAGAAAGAGAATTTGTAACATATCTGTGTTTGATGTTTAAGGCATCAAACTTAATCAGCTTAATAATGACACTCTTCCTCAGACAAGAAGCCTAAAATGTCCTACTTTGACCTCAAGTCTAGTAATAAAACTGGACATACACAGGCAACATGTCATTAATTTTCAAACTTTAACGAATCATATATAACCAAATATAATGGTTCTCAAGTGTGTATATCACATCACCTGTATGAAAAATGTGAGGAAACAGAGACTTCTTTTACACTATTGGTGAGGTGGATAAATTGATAGAGGCTTTCTGGAGAGAATCTGGCAATGCTCATCAAAATTTAAAATGCACATACACTTTGTTCCAGCAGTTCTACCTCTAGTAATTTATTTTTGCCCTCATATATCCATAAGACATGCAAATAATTATATGTGAGAATTTTTTTTTTTTTTTCCTGCAGAGACGAGGTTTTACCATGTTGCCCAGGGTGATCTGGAACTCCTGGGCTCAGGTAATCCACCCACCTCAGCCTCCCAAAGTGCTGGGATTACAGGTGTGAGCCATCATGCCCAACCAGGATTTAATTAAATTAATTAATTAATTTTTTGCAGCATTATTTCTTTTGTTGTTGTTGTTGTTTTGAGAGATGGAGTCTTACTCTGTCACCCAGGCTGGAGTGCAGTGGTGTGATCTCAGCTCCCTGTAACCTCCGCCTCCTGGGTTCAAGTGATTTTCCTGCATTAGCTTCCTAAGTAGCTGGGACTACAGGTGTGTGCCACCACACCCAGCTAATTTTTGTATTTTCAGTAGAGACGAGGTTTCACTATATGTTGGCCAGACTTGTCTTGAACTCCTGACCTCAGGTGATCTGCCTGCCTTGGCCTCCCAAAGTGCTGAGATTATAGGTGTCAGCCACCATGCCTGGCCATAGCATTATTTCTAATAGTGAAAACTGGAAACATTCTAAGTGTCTATCAGTATACCATGAGTTAGATTTCTGATGTTACCATTCAGTTGAAACACTACACATCTCCCAAAAAGAATGGCGTTCCAATAGGGAAAGATATCTAAGATTTACTGAAAGAAAAAGCACATTGCAGAACACTTGGATCCTATTTGATTTTTTTTTTTGAGACAGAGTCTCGCTCTGTCACACTGCAACCTCCGCCTCCTGGATTGAAGCGATTCTCCTGCCTCAGCCTCCTGAGTAACTGTCGCGATGCCTGGCTAATTTTTGTGTTTTTAGTGGAGATGGGGTTTCACCATGTTGGTTCAGGCTGATCTTGAACTCCTGACCTCATGATCTGCCCGTCTCGGCTTCCCAGAGTGCTGCGATTACTGGCATGAGCCACCTCTCCTGGCCATGAATGTATTTTTTAAAAAGAGCTGTTCATATTCTTATTGCATAGAAGATGTCTGAAATTACACCCAATAAACTCTTTTTTTTTTTTTTTTTTTTTTTTTGAGACGGAGTCTCGCTCTGTCGCCCGGGCTGGAGTGCAGTGAACGGATCTCAGCTCACTGCAAGCTCCGCCTTCCGGGTTTACGCCATTCTCCTGCCTCAGCCTCCCGAGTAGCTGGGACTACAGGCGCCCACCATCTCGCCCGGCTAGTTTTTTGTATTTTTTTTAGTAGAGACGGGGTTTCACCGGGTTAGCCAGGATGGTCTCGATCTCCTGACCTCGTGATCCGCCCGTCTCGGCCTCCCAAAGTGCTGGAATTACAGGCTTGAGCCACCGCGCCCGGCCGATAAACTCTTTTTGAGACAGAGTCTCACTCTGTTGCCCAGGCTGGAGTGCAATGGCATGATCTCAGCTCACTGCCACCTCCGCCTCCCTTGTTCAAGCAATTCTCCTGCCTCAGCCTCCTGAGTAGCTGGGACTACAAGTTCCCGCCACCACGTCTGGCTAATTTTTGTATTTTTAGTAGAGATGGGGTTTCACTATGTTGGCCAGGCTGGTCCCGAACTCCTAATCTCAGGTGATCTGCCCACCTCGGCCTCCCAAAGTGCTGGGATTACAGTCGTGAGTCACTGCCCCCCGCTGAAATTCTTTTTTTTTTTTTTTGTCTTTCGAGACAGAGTCTCGCTCTGTCGCCCAGGCTTGAGTGCAGTGGCGCCATCTCAGCTCACTGCAAGCTCTGCCTCCTGGATTCACGCCATTCTCCTGCCTCAGCAGGAGTAGCTGGGACTATAGGTGCCCGCCACCACGCCTGGCTAATTTTTTGTATTTTTGTATTTTTAGTAGAGACGGGATTTCACCCTGTTAGCCAGGATGGTCTCGATCTCCTGACCTCGTGATCTGCCTGCCTTGGCCTCCGAAAGTTCTGGAATTACAGGCGCGAGCCACTGTGCCCAGCCGGAACTGTTAGTAGTAGTGGGATTGGAAGACATTTACTTTTTACTGGATGTCTTTCTGTATTGTGTGCTTTTTTTTTATGTAGGGCATACATTACTTAAGTAATTTTAAAGCCTCCATAAGTAATTGTAATTTCCTGCCCATGTGTTTGGCAAAAGGAATTGTGTTGGTGGTAGACTTACATTATAGTCTTATTTGGAGTAGCACAGGAGGACCGAAGGTTAATAGGTGAACTTTGAGGCAAGCCTTAGCATTGAGGTTGCCATCAGCATTGCTTGGTTGTTGTGTTCGTTCTTCTGGGATGGATTACAACCTTTACTGGACTTTATAGTTTTCACCAGTAAGGCTTTAAAAAAGGAGTTGAAACATTAGAGAAGTGATTTTCCAGACATTAATATTCACTGGTAAATAATCTTCCAGCCTGTGGCTCAACTGGTTGATTCTTTTACTTTTAAGAATGCGGCCTCAGCTGCTGTGCCTACGGAGTAGATTTCTTTTATTTCTTTACTTTCTTAATAAACTTGCTTGCCCCCGGCTCCCCGCCACCATAAAAAGAAGGCAGCCTCCCTTTTGCAAATGGTAATTTCCTATAGTTTCCTCATAGAATTGTGGAGTTACCTATGCTGAGGTTATAGGTTAGGGTATTGAGATCCAGAGTTGCCACTTCTGAGGTCTCACAACTGCTAATGGTAAAACCAGTTCTAAAGCCCAGTTCTTGTGACTTTGTCCAGTGATTGCCTGTTCACCGTTTCATGCTGCCTTCCCATTTGAGAATTCCCAGGAGGAAGGGGAGGTTGCCAGGGACCTAGTACCGTGGTCCCACCTTGGAATCGTTGAACATGGGGGAAAGCATTGGCTTCTCCCTTTTTTCTCCCAAATATTGGAAATATTTTTGGCTATTAAATAGCACCCCTTGTTCCATGTGGAATCCTTTGTTTAAAAGAAGTAAAATATGTACCTCCTGTCCTCCACAGACCTGAGGACCAGTGATCTCAAGGTTACAGGTAAACGCAGATGTCTCTACTGAAAGATGGCTTTTACAGGTTAAAGAGAGAACCCTGATCTGAAGGCTATTTTATGAAGTGATTAAAATGTTCTAAACTTTAAAAATAACTGCTCAAATAATTGTGTTGTATAGTTATTTATCAACTGTAAGGGCTGGTAAGTATTTTTCTAAAACATTTTCAAGGAAATTTTTTCCTGTTTTCTAATTTGCTAATTTTGCTCAAGTAGCTTGTTAGATATTGTTAATATAGATGTTGGTTATAACTGAATGAAAGGGAACAAATACTTTGTCATTTTGAAAAACAAGCTTCATTTTCTTCTAGTCTAATGGATGGGATCCCAATGATATGTTTCGATATAATGAAGAAAATTATGGTGTAGTGTCTACATATGATAGCAGTTTATCTTCATATACGTAAGTTTAAAAAGTTTGTTTTTATTTTAGTGCATTTGTCTTTGATTTTCATCAACTTAATTTATGATGAATAAATGTTTCCATTAGTTTTTAAGTTAAACAATTACGTGAAATAATTTTTCTCTTATTACCACGTGTGATAAATTTCCATTAAAAAAAGGGAATAAATGTAGTTTGCTTATACCCTATTTTTATCCTCTAAACAAATTTTGGTTTTTTTTTTTTTCCTTTTCTTTTGAGACGGAATCTCGCTCTGTTGCCAGGCTGGAGTGCAGTGGCACAATCTCAGCTCACTGCAACCTCTGCATCCCGGGTTCAAGTGATTCTCCTGCCTCAGCCTCCCGAGTAGATGGGACTACAGGCGTGCGCCACCATGCCCAGCCAATTTCTGTATTTTTAGTAGAGACGGGGTTTCACCATGTTAGCCAGGATGATCTCGATCTCTTGACCTCGTGATCCACCCACCTTGGCCTCCCAAAGTGCTGGGATTGCAGGTGTGAGCCACTGTGCCTGGCTGGTTTTGTCTTTTAAGTTGTTAAAAAACACAAAATTTGCAAGGGCAGAGATTATGATGAACAGTTGAACTAGTTTTTAAAATATGTTCCTCTGGAGAAAAAGTTACAGAAAAAAGGTTAGAATTTTGTTTTATAAATAAACAGATCACTATAACTTTTAGTTTTAGTGTTTTTTGTTTGTTTGTTTGTTTTTTAACCAGTATTCTAAACTCTAAACTTTCTTAGTAGTTGATTATGACAGATAGATAAACTGTGGCTTTAAAGTACTCATTTTGCTTTTCTTTTCCTCATGTTTCAGGGTGCCCTTAGAAAGAGATAACTCAGAAGAATTTTTAAAACGGGAAGCAAGGGCAAACCAGTTAGCAGAAGAAATTGAGTCAAGTGCCCAGTACAAAGCTCGAGTGGCCCTGGAAAATGATGATAGGAGTGAGGAAGAAAAATACACAGCAGTTCAGAGAAATTCCAGTGAACGTGAGGGGCACAGCATAAACACTAGGTATTTAAAGGAAATCATGATGCAGTATTTTGGATACACAACTCAAGGTCTGTGTGAGACGGTGTATTGTTACTATATTTCCTCTTCCTTTAATATAGCTTAGGTAGAGAATGCAAGTAGAATTGGTTTAAGATCTGTTAGAGAGAAGGTTATGGTAATCTTGGAAAATATGCTTTTGAGAGTAAGCTTTGTGGTATATCACGGTGAGCAATCCAAGGTCTTGAAGAGCTTGTTAAAATAGTGGTCTGGTAGGGGATACGTGTAACAATCACAGCAGTACAATATGATTTGCTTGGTTAAAGGCATGTTCAAAGTACACTAGGAACATACAGAATGAGGAGGAGCTAGCATAACCTATAGAGTCAGAGAAAACCTCACTGAGGAGGTGACATTTTGTGATAATAGGGTCTTTGACATTCAGAGAGGAGTTGGGAGAAGAATTTCTCACCTGATGAAAAGCCATGTACAAGCATGGCTGTGTGAGAAAATTTGGCCAGCTCAGGTAAGGGCTGGTTGTTGCGTGTGTCTGGAACACAGGATCTGTGTCGGGTGCAGCAGTGGCAGTTGACAGTAGGAACTGAGGTCATTGAAGGACTTGGCATGTCATGCTAAAAAGCACCCTGTTGGAAGGAGATGAGGTGAATAAACCCTGGGGCATTGAGGACTGGCTGATATACAGAGAACAGTTAGTGCATTGAAATAGTTCAACTGTGAGAATTTGTTAACCACCTAGTTCAGGGATGAACCTGAGGTTTATTTGATAACTAAGTGACTTAATGGATGTACTGGTGAGAGAGAGAGGAACCATGGAGCAAGTTTGAGGGGAAAAACTATGACTCCATTTGTGCAGCTAATTGCATTTGTGGGACTTGTGGGTCTTTCATTTATTCATAAACATGTGTTCAGAAATACCTGCTACCTATCTGATAAACTAAGAGATGCATCCTCTCTTCAAGGCAGTCAGCTTAGAGTCTGGTGATTTGAATTGACATGTCCACTGACAGATGTTGACATTGTGAGACTGGTGGTTCAGTTTGAGGTTTCATCAGCATTGCCGATATTGGAGCCATGGAAAACCAAAGAACAGCCAGTGAAAGAAGATATCTCAGAGAAAATAAAATTGAGAAAGTGAAGGACAAGAAATGTTGAAGATAGACCAAGATTGATAGAATCAGCCACAGAGAGGTCAAGTCAGATAAGAATGAGCACACATCTGTTAAACTTTGTGCTTAGGAGCAGAATCTAAGTGAAGGGACAGGCCAGAGGTTAGAACTCAGGGTAAGATGGAAGAACAGAGCATCTGGGAGTGAGGCAGTTTGGTTTAGTGTAGAACCTTTTTGTAACAAGCATTCCCTTCTGTGAAGATGACTTTTAGATATGTTTCATTGACTTGGTACCTTTTGGAATAAAATGATTTAGAGGATCTCTCATTTTCAGGGAAAATAAATATATTCCTCCTGGACAAAGAAATAGAGAAGTCATATCCTGGGGAAGTGGGAGACAGAATTCACCGCGTATGGGCCAGCCTGGATCGGGCTCCATGCCATCAAGATCCACTTCTCACACTTCAGATTTCAACCCGAATTCTTGTTCAGACCAAAGAGTAGTTAATGGAGGCAAGTATTTTGACCAGACTTGTCAATATCATTGATCAAATAGTTTTCTAAATACTTAAAATAGTTTGCATAACTGATAAGAATGTGCACTTTAATGATTTGGGGAGTAGTTTTTCACTTCAGCATTACTTAAAATTGGCTTTTGTGGATATCAAATTAGTAAAACATTGTGTACGTCATTGGCATATACATTATTTAGCATGATGAAATATTCATGATAAAGTGCTACATTTAACCCAAGACAATCACTTGGCCAAAAACACTCCACATATAAAGAAATTGGAAACTTTGGGTAGGTTCTCAATTTTAAAAACACTGGATAATAAAATTATTTAGACATAATTTATATGGAAAATTCTAACCTATGTGCAACACTGTGGTTAATATAGATTAATTCTCATTATTTGTTTCTATATTTTGCTTACTTCAAGAAAGGATCTGAGGTAGCTTTTATAATATAAGACATGATTAAGAGTCATGTGAAGAAAGTAATTAAAGAAACGCGCTTAAACAACAACAAAAACAACCCTTAGTCTAAGGGTGGATGTTACAGTTTAGCAACCTAAGTAAAAGAAACCTGAATCATTAGTAGGAAGACATTTTTTACTCTACCTCTAAATCTAGGTTGAATATGTCTTGTAGGTTGTGGATCTTTTCCATAAATCAGGGATACTGAACAACAGTTCTGTGGATAGTATGGGAATAGTAATAGCAATAGTATGTTACTAACTTTGGGAAAAGAGTGGTCATTCAATTTTAGCTATTTAAATTTGGAAAGTTAGAAAGATGAAAATAGAGAACGCTCAGTTTCCAATTTCATTTGTTTTCATTGAGTCTTTTCTCCAGAATTCCTCTCCAAATGGACACTCTTGAGTATTTTCAGTACTTAATATTGGGGGTGAAATTTCTTTGCTCACTGAGGAAAGATTTTAGTTGTTTATAAACAGAATTTTAAAGCTAAAAAACCTGAAGGGGGCTGAAAAATGTATGATACTCAAGTGTGTGGAACCCTATGGAGAGGAGACCTGGACTGTTTGATAAGATTAAGGTAAGTGATATGTAATGTTAAATACTATGTGTATCTTTACCTAGGCATATCCATCAATATAAATTTATTTGGTGATGACTGCTTTGTAGTTGCAGTATTTATTAAGCAGTCGCTTAGATAACTGTGTAAATTATTTAGAAAGTCTCCCTTTTTCTAGTTTAATGAGGTCAAGACTTTTTTTTTTGAAAGAGCAATGAATATTATCATTTGATACTCTCGTGACTCTAGAAGAGTAATGTTTTATTTCTACTTAAATGGGACTTGCTTAATGAGATTTCAAACTGAATTTTAGGTTCAAGTGTAAACCTGATGAAAATCATAGATAATTGTAAGGAACCAGCATTTCTAATTGGATATAATAGCTACTGCTTATTTTCATTATGCCTCAGAGTTAAAACTAATACAGTAAATAATCTTACTCCTGAGTAGGAATTATTGTGATTTATTATGTGAAATTATCTAGTGTATGTTATATTCCTTTAAACAACTGATTACTGAGAAACAGTTATAGAAGCAAGATTAATAGGCAAAGTCTTAACTGTCTTCTTTAATAGTGTGTGTAGATCCTAATTAACCCTTTGGGAACGTGTATTCATTTAAACAGACTTAATCTTAAGGAGGTTAAAGTAAAATGTGAATTTATGTCTGTTAAGTTATGCTAAAACTTATCACAAATCAAATGACTGTCCTCAAAGGGTTAAAATGTACAAGAAATCATTTTTGTCATTTTACTTTTTTTTCTGTTTACTTTTTTCCCTCATTTTTTTCTTTAGTTTTTATACTTTCCTTCATATCATTTGTTCTGTCAGGTGTTCCCTGGCCATCGCCTTGCCCATCTCCTTCCTCTCGCCCACCTTCTCGCTACCAGTCAGGTCCCAACTCTCTTCCACCTCGGGCAGCCACCCCTACACGGCCGCCCTCCAGGCCCCCCTCGCGGCCATCCAGACCCCCGTCTCACCCCTCTGCTCATGGTTCTCCAGCTCCTGTCTCTACTATGCCTAAACGCATGTCTTCAGAAGGTACAATACCACAATTTGTTCATGTTTTTGTTTGTCTTTGTTTAACTCCTATGTGAGTTTATAATTACAAAATAGTTTCCTCTTCATTATTTAATAACCTACAATTTCTGTGTTTTAACTTTAGTTTATTACAACTATTTCTATTAACCTTTTGTTCATTAGAGAGAAATTTGATAAATGTTGTGTGAAGCTATAAACTCTCCTGAATTGTTGTTTAAAAAGGGAGTTTATCTCTGCCTGATAATTATGCTTCTTTACAGCCCCAGAAAGGTCTGCCCCACAGCCTTCCCCCTCCTTATTTGCACTGTATACAGGAGTTAAACAAATGAACTTTCTTCAACCAGTCTTGAACTTTGGTTCATTTTACGGCTCTTTGGTCAAGGTCCTAGTGAACCTTCCTATTGGCCATAAGCAGGAAGGGTGTTTCTGGGTCATTTTTGAGAGTGACAGCCCATATAGCTGCCTTTGCATGTCTGCTCTTCGATTAAAGTAGTTTGAGTTTTAGAATGCCAGAAGAATTCTAAATTTAACTGAGTAATTTTTTTAAAGTTAGCTTTGCAATCTTACACAGTGAAAGGCTGCTTTAATCTGGGAGAAGTCCTTGATCTGAGATAAAATTATTGATAAAAATGACATGAATTTGAATATTTTAGCTATTTTTTTCTCATCAAAAATAAGAATAAAATCTTGTAATTCTTATTCAGTATTTGGTGCTTAATCCATCATTGCCACATATCGAATACATGGATATGTTGTAGAAAGGTAACATTCTAATTTTAATGCTACCCATATATATATTAAAAACCTGTTTTCTGAATCATAATGTCCTTTTGATATTAGTTCTGAATGTTTATGTTAAAATTTTAATCTGATTTGTTCATTAAAGTTAGTTAATATTGATTATGTTGGGACTAATAAAGTTTTCTGCACAAAATGTGTTTCTCCTGCTTCCCTGGAGAAAACTATATTGGCTACTTTTAAATAAATTGTTACCATCTAAGCAGGCAGGTCATGTGACCTTGAAGCATCTAACCTTGAAGAGCAAGTTCCACTGATTTTCAAGGTGACTTCTTTGCTCAAAAGGGCCTTAATAGTGGTCACTGAATGCAAAGTTCTGTTGATATTTTTCTTGAGGTCCATTATTTGAATAAGTGATATTTATTTAATGAGAATATACTAAATAAGACATGATCATTAATTACTGTGAACATTTTTATTACATTAAGATATAAGGACTGCTGATAGACTATAACTATTCACATAGAAATATACGTTTTGTGTCAGAGATGTTGAATATTTCCATTTGAAAATTATAGTGCATAACATTAGCATTCTTCTAAAGATCATGTTCTTGTTTAAATTCCTGTTGGGAGCCAGGCATGGTAGCTCACGCCTGTAATCTCAGCACTTTGGGAGGCTCAGGCAGGCGGATCACTTGAGGTCAGGAGTTTGAGACCCGCCTGGCCAACGTGGTGAAACCTCGTCACTACTAAAAATACCCAGCTACTTGGGAGGCTGAGGCAGGAGAATCACTTGAACCTGGGAGGCAGAGGTTGCAGTGAGTTGAGATCGTACCATTGCACTCCAGTCTGGGCGACAGAGAGAGACTCTGTCTTAAAAAATAATAATAATAAAAAAAAACAATTCTTTTGGGAACACACATTAATTTGAAGTTCTAAAGAGTTTGGCAGCAGGGTGAGAGAGTGAGGAGATTTGGCTTTGACATTAGGAAAGTTTTCGCTTGGTGTTAACACCAGTAGACTTATCTGATGAGGGCCATTCTGTCCACTCTTCTTAGCTAATAGATTGGTCTAATGCACAGTAGGCTGATTTAGAAAGAGTAGTCACTAGTGGCATGGCAGAATCAATAATGCAGAATTTTGACAATTCATGTAGTGCTGATTTCTTCCCCAAATGTCAGTTATATTGGTCATCTATTAATAGACTAATACAAGTCATCTCCTTAATAGAATTTTCATCTCACAGCCTGCTAAGCCTAAGAAACTGCTTACAGGTTACTGTTACTGCTTACTGTTTTAAGCCGAGTTTTAAAATTGATGATCATGATAGAAGAGATAAATAACCTAAAATTTTAGAGAAATTTAAGAAGGGTATGTACATATATTTTAGTAGTATCGAGTGTATAGGGATTAATAGTCTTCTGTTTAAATTTTTTTTTCCTAATTTTAGAAGTAATGTAGAAAATTCGGGGTGTGGAAAGGTAAAATATATGGAAAGTTAAAAATATTTTATCATGTAGTCATAATTTCTAGTAACCTATTTCTTTACAAATAAGACATAGTTGAAACAGATTGCTACAGTTATTTTAAGAGTTGACATCTTATTGTTGATTTCTTACCACCAACTTCATCCCTCCCTTTCTTTAAAAATAAAGGGAAATAATAAAATTTATTTACAAAACTTTATGGCATTCCACAAAATAATTCTGAAAGAATTAGTATGGCCAAAAAATATGTACGGTGTTGTGTTTTTTTTTTTTTCCTATTTTTAACCAAGGAAAAACTGTAGAGTGAGTGAGAGTGTGTGTGTGTGCATGTGTGTGGGGATGGGTGTATTTAGCAGAAAAGTAGTACTGATGAACATCATGGCATTTATGTGATGTTCACTGTTTCTTCCTTAGGGCCTCCAAGGATGTCCCCAAAGGCCCAGCGACATCCTCGAAATCACAGAGTTTCTGCTGGGAGGGGTTCCATATCCAGTGGCCTAGAGTTTGTATCCCACAACCCACCCAGTGAAGCAGCTACTCCTCCAGTAGCAAGGACCAGTCCCTCGGGGGGAACGTGGTCATCAGTGGTCAGTGGGGGTAGGTAACACTTGGGCATAATGACGGTACTCATTTTGTCATTACACTAGATGTAAAGAGGGCTGAGCTACAACTCTGTTTGAGGAAGTGTAAGTATATATATATTAAAAATAGTAGAATCACCAGGAATTGGGAAGCCCATATTTTTATTCTGGGCTCTACCACTTATTCACCATATATTAAAGCAAGTCAAACACTCATTCTGAAGTTGAGATTTCTCAGTGAGTAAAGTGTTAATAATTTTTGCCTAGTCTACATTATGGGGTTGTGATGAGATTCCTGTAAGGTTCATAAATATGGATATATTATAAAACTATAAAGTTTTGTGAAGTACCTCTCGAATACGAGGCAAACACAGTATGTAACACTATTTGTAGGGATCATATTTCCTTTTTAGCAGCTTTGTTTATCATTACATTCTGTAAACATTTATTTTTGGCTTACATTGTAGTGTTTTTCTATAGCATCTGTATAGGGCACTAATTCCCAACTATATTTCCATTATAAGGAATATGAAATACAAATGAAGCGTCCAAGTTTTATCTGTGATTAGCATAAGGAATATGCTGACACCAGCTATAAAAGTATAAAAATTAGGCTGGGCGCGGTGGCTCACCCCTGTAATCCCAGCACTTTGGGAGGCTGAGGCGGGTGGATCACAAGGTCAGGAGATCGAGACCATCCTGGCTAACATGGTGAAACCCTGTCTCTTATACTAAAAGTACAAAAAAAATTAGCCAGGCGTGGTGGCAGGTGCCTGTAGTCCCAGCCACTCTGGAGACTGAGGCAGGAGAATGGCGTGACCTTGGGAAGCGGAGCTTGCAGTGAGCCGAGATCGCACCACTGCACTCCAGCCTAGACGACAGAGTAAGACTCCATCTCAAAAAAAAAAAAAAAAAAAGTATAAAAATTAGACGTTGACATGATTTTACAATAAGGCTGACTGCTTTTGCTACTTTGCCAATCAATCCTTAGTGCTTTGTTCCCATAACTGTGGTGAGCAAGAGCTTAAAAAAAAACAACACAAAAAAAACTTAGTCTATTTAATCAGTCCGTAGAACCTTTAAAAGAAACAAGATCGGCCAGGTGTGGTGGTTCATGCCTGTAATCCCAGCACTTTGGGAGGCTGAGGTGGGTGGATCACTTGAGGTCAGGAGTTCGAGACCGGCCTGACCAACATGGTGAAACCCCATCTCTACTAAAAATATAAAATTAGCCAAGTGTGGTGGCTACTCGGGAGGCTGAGGCAGGAGAATTGTTTGAACCCAGGAGGTGGAGGTTGCAGTGAGCCAGCATCGCACCATTGCACTCCAGTCTGGGTGACAAGAGGGAAACTCCATCTCAAAAAAAAAAGAAAAAAGAAGCAAGATCTTCAAGCTTAAGGAAAACAAAAACAAAACAAAACAAAACCCAACTGTTAAATCTGTTTTTAGTTGATATACATTTCTGCTCAGCTTCATGTGATGTACATTCATGTAATTGTACCATAAATTCGTTTGTACTCTTTATTTTCTTCTTTGGTCTTCAGTTATCTAAAGACTACCAAGAAAACAAAAATTTAAAAAATCTTCAGCCAGCCAGGCGCAGTGGTTCATACCTGTAATACCAGCACTTTGGGAGGCTGAGGTGGGCAAATCACAAGGTCGGGAGTTCAAAACCAGCCTGGCCAACATGGTGAAACGCCGTCTCTACTAAAAATACAAAAATTAGCTGGGCATTGTGGTGCGTTCTTGTAATCCCAGCTACTTGGGAGACTGAGGCGGGAGAATTGCTCGAACCAGGACCCAGGAGGGGGAGGTTGCGGTGAGTGGAGATTGTGCCACTGCACTCCAGTCTGGGCTACAGAGCGAGACTCCATTTCAAAAAAAAAAAAAAATCTGCTTCAACTATTCCATTAATCTTTTGACATTACTTAGATGGTCTGGAAATTAATTTTGAGAATAACATGATTAGAAGTGAGAGAGTATAAGCATAGTTTTGGAGATACACTCAGAATAGCATTATAGATTTGCTGTTTTTACTAATTGGAAAAATGGCAGTTGTTGAGTAATAGTTTTCTTCCGTGACGCTTGTGACTTACAAAAAAAAAAACCACTAAAATGAAGTAATCAAACCATTTTCTCTAAACCTTTGAATCTAATCTCTGCAGATAGGTTTATAATGGTATATGAAACCTATTAGATACATACTTGGAAGTCGTATGAGATACAAACCCTGTTTTTATTATCTTCCCCTTTTGACTAACTTGGGTCTCAAGTTTCCTTGATTACTGCACAGTGAACCTTGATGTCGCTATAAAGAATTTATAGAGCTAGGCGTGGTGGCTCATGCCTGTAATCCCAGCACTCTGAGAGGCCAAGGTAAGCAGATCACCTGAGGTCAGGAGTTTGAGACCAGCCTGGCCAGCATGATGAAACTCCGTCTTTACTAAAAATACAAAAAATTAGCTGGATGTGGTGGCGAGTACCTGTAATCCCAGCTACGCCAGAGGCTTAGGCAGGGGAAGCACTTGATACATTTAGTTAGGAGAGAAAATCATACGTATTAGTAATTGTTGTTTTTCTTCAGATACTTGTGGTTTTGATTGCCAGCAAATTCCTAACATTTTGGAAAAGAAAACAGTAATGGGATAAAGGGAAAGGGCTAGAGAGGACTGTTTTACCTAGGTCTTAAGAGAAGCCTCTTTGAGGAAGTAACATTTGAACTGAGAATGTAATAAATAAATTTTCCCTTTCTTCTAGTTCCAAGATTATCCCCTAAAACTCATAGACCCAGGTCTCCTAGACAGAACAGTATTGGAAATACCCCCAGTGGGCCAGTTCTTGCTTCTCCCCAAGCTGGTATTATTCCAACTGAAGCTGTTGCCATGCCTATTCCAGCTGCATCTCCTACGCCTGCTAGTCCTGCATCGAACAGAGCTGTTACCCCTTCTAGTGAGGGTATGTAACAAAAGGCTTCTAGATCCATAATCTCAGCTGTGAAATTGAATGTTAGAGAGTAACATTATATGAAAAAATTCTAGCTTATTTTTATTCATAGACAAGTATTTTTAATGCACATTTAAAAGTTTGTGTAAATTTTGATGTTGTTTAATACTACTAATTTAATACAATGTCTGTGTTAGAAAGGTTAACATTCCTGGGTGTCAAATACCTATGTAAATAAAATTATTGGTGTTTCATATGACATCTACAAAGGAAAAAAGCCTCTGTTTAAAATGAAAGCATTCTTTCCCAAAAACATAGGAAATCAAAATTATTGTTCAGTGTTTTCTTGTTTTACTTTTCTAACTTCTAACTCTGAATTTTTAAAAAAAAAAATGTTTTCTAGCTAAAGATTCCAGACTTCAAGATCAAAGGCAGAACTCTCCTGCAGGGAATAAAGAAAATATTAAGCCCAATGAAACATCACCTAGCTTCTCAAAAGCTGAAAACAAAGGTTAGAGTTTAAAGAATCATTAGGCTTAACTGTAGAAATAGGAAGGAGTATGTCTAATTTCATGCCCGTACAGAATATTTTCGTTCAACATTTTTTCTTACTATTGTGATAGATAAATGTATTGCTTGACAAATTCCAAAATCCAAATTTAATATTTGAAATTATTTTTTGATCTTATATCTTATTCTAATTTCTATCATCTCATACCAAAAAGAATGCAATGTTAAAGTTTAAAAATAAACCTGTGTCTAACAGTTCTTAATTTTACAGGTATATCACCAATTGTTTCTGAACATAGAAAACAGATTGATGATTTAAAGAAATTTAAGAATGATTTTAGGGTAAGTGTTGTACTGACTGATTAATTTGAGTTTTAAAAAATAAACATTACTAAAGATTTATCTATTCATAGAAATGCATTATGTATACAATCAGAAACATCAAACCATATATGTAGAAAGCAGAACATTCTTAAAGTGGTCTTTGCCTATCCTTTAAGTGGGATAACTAAAATCATGAGATTTGGTAACCAATTTGTAGGTATCAAATGAGAGTATAGCCCTGACATTTGAAACCACCATAGCACAGCTTAGTATTTGATGGTCATTTGATTACTTTGTTAATGAAGCTAGATATTAGTAGAGCAAGGCCAAGTCATTAATAATCTAGTGTGGCAAATGGAAGATGTACTGGACTCTGGTGTTCTGAGGTAGTTGGAGATTTGTACTTTGTACACAAATATATTATGTCAAAATCTTTCTGTAACATTATTTCTCTATCTTAGGACAGGCTTTGCTTACCATCTCTCCTTGATTGTCATTTCATTCTTTTGCACATTATATACTATAATACACTATAGATATCAAGGTAGATTTTGAGACCAACCAAGAAATCTTCTGGAAAGTTAACTTCTTAGAGAGGTAAATCTAAATACCAGCCTTTTAAAGAAAGTAGCTGAATTAAAGGATGAGTGAATCAAAGGCAAAGGCAGCCTTTCCTCAGCCTGTGTTTTAGCTTTCTAAATGTTAATAATAACTTCATTCTTGATTTATTGGTAACATTCAAAATACTACTTATTATTTCATACTTTAGCACATGTATGTATTCAGCTTTAATGCTATTAACAGTTGTTAACTTAAATTTTAATTTGTTGGCTGGGCATGGTGGCTCACGCCTGTAATCCCAGCACTTTGGGAGGCCGAGGTGGGCCAGATCACCTAAGGTCAGGAGTTCGAGACCAGCCTGGCCAACATGGTGAAACCCTGTCTCGACCAAAAATAGAAAAATTAGCTTGGCATGGTGGCGGGCGCCTGTAATCCCAGCTACTCAGGAGGCTGAGGCAGGAGAATCACTTGAACCCAGGAGACAGAGGTTGCGATAAGCCGAGATCACGCCACTCCACTCCATCCTGGGCGACAGCAAGACTTCGTCTCAAAAAAAATAAAAAATAAAAAAGGTGTTTCAATTTGTTAAACAATAGTTAACGCATACACATGATACAAAGAATATTGAATATGATCATGTGCCCACTACCCAGCTTAGTAAGTTAAGCATTCTAACACCGGTAAACTCCTGTTATGTATTTGCTGCTCCTCAACTGCTTCCCCCTCTTCCCTTCCAAAAGGAAGGGTTTCTTTTCTGTGCAGTTGTTTATATTTACACTGCATATGAATATATCTGTGAGCAATAGATGATATTTTTGCATAATCTTAAATTTCCTATAAATGATGTCTTGCTGTAGGTATTCTTCCCCATTTGAGTTTTTTCCTCAGCATTATTTTTTTAACATCATTCAGCCCCCTCTTATACTACACTTGGATTGAATTTAATATCTCATGAAGAAAAAACATTTTTACTTTGAAGCATGTGAATTAGCATGTTTTTGTAACAGCTTTATTGAGATATAATTTACATATATAAATCAACCATTTAAAGTGTATAAATCAGTGGTTTTTAATATATTCACAATTATATTGTACAACCATCTCCTCAGTTGATTTTAAAACATACTCTTCACCCCCAAAAGAAACCCCATGCCCAGTTTAGCAGTTGTTCCACACTGGCCTCCAGCCCTTCTTTCCGTTACTCCCATCCCTGAGTAACCATTAATCTACTTTCTGTCTCTATGGATGGGCTTATTTGGGACAAATTTCCATTTCATACAAATGAAATAATAAAATATATGGTTTTTACGACTGGCTTCTTTCACTTAGGGTAGTGTTATAAAGGTTCATCCATGTTGGAGCATGTTTTAGTACTTCATTTCTTTTTTTTACTAATATTCCATGATATGGATAATACCACATTTTGTTTATCCATTCATCAGTTTGTAGCTATTTGTGGTGTTCTCACTATTTGACTATTCTGAATAACACTGCCACGAACATGAGTGTGCAGTTTTTTTCTCGTCCTATGTTTTCATTTCTTTTGTGTACCTACCTAGGAGTTGAATTGCTGGGTCATATGGCAACTGTGTTTAACCTTTTGAGGAACTACCAAGCTATTTGCCGAGACATCTGCACTATTTTACATTCCCACCAGCAGGGTATGAGGGTTTCTGTTTCTCCACATCCTTGCTAACACTTATTGTCATGTCTTTTTTGATTATAGTGATCCTTGTGGGTGTGAAGTGTTACCTCATTGTGGCTTTAATGTGCAGTTCTTTCATGGCTAATGATGTTGAACATCTTTTGTGTTTATTGGCTATTTATATATCTTCTTTGGATTGCTGTCTGTTCAGATCTTTAGCCCATTTTAAAAATTGAGTTGTCTTTTTATTATTAGGTTGTAAGAGTTCTTTATATATTCTGTGTACAAGTCCCTGTTAGATACATGGTTTGCAAATGTTTTCTCCTATTCTGTTGGTTTTTTTTTTACTTTTTCATCCCTTGAAGCACAAAAATTTTTAATTTTGATGAAGTCCAATTTATCTGATTTTGTTGTTACTTACGCTTTTGGTGTCATATCTAAGAAAACAGTGTCTAGTCAATCATTAAGGTTTATTACTCTTCTGGGTTTTTTAAAGAATTACATTTAGAGGTGTGATCCATTTTGAACAACTTTGTTTTTCTTTTGACACAGAGTCTCGCTCTTTTGCTTAGGCTGGAGGGCAGTGGTGCAGTCTTGGCTCACAGCAGCCTCAGCCTCCTGGGCTTAAGTGAGTAGCTGGTACTGCAGGTGTGCACCGCCACACATTGCTGTTAATAACTTTTGTATTTTTATTGCAGAGACAGAATTCCACCACGTTGCCCAGGCTGGTCTCAAACACTTGGACGCAAGTAACCCGCCCACCTCAGCCTCCCAAAGTGAAAAATTGCTTTCACTTTGCACTGCAGACTCGCCCTGATCTTGTGCAAGATCCAAGAGCCTTCTCTTGGGGTCTGGAACAAGACCCGTTTTCTATAACAATATTATTAGAATAACGTTTGATTTTTTTTTTTAAGTGAAATAAATTGTTACTAAAAAATTTGAAAAAGAAAAGTTCATTGGAGAGTGACTTGGTGCTCAGCCCATTTTGAGCAGTTATTTAGTATAAGGTGGGGTTCAAATTCATTCTTTAATATTAATTTTTTATTTCTAATTGACACATAACCATACATTTATAACCATTTTTACTCTATAGAGTCCAGATTCATTCTTCTGCATGTAGATATTAGTTGTCCCAGCACCATCTGTTAAAAAGACTATTCTTGGCCAGTCACGGTGGCTCTCAATGCCTATAATCCCAGCACTTTGGGAGTCCCAAACAGGCAGATCACATGAGGTCAGGAGTTCTAAACCAGTCTGACCAACATGGTGAAACCCCGTCTCTACTAAAAATACAAAAATTACCTGGGCATAGTGGCGCACACCTGTAGTCCCACTACTCTAGTGGCTGAGGCAGGAGATTCACTTGAACCTGGGAGGTAGAGGTTGCAGTGAGCTGAGATCATGCACTCGAGCCTGGGCGACAGAGTGAGACTCCATCTCAAAAAAAAGAAGACTATTCTTTCCTTCATTGAATTATCTTCACATGCTTGTTGGAAGTCTGTTGACTACAAATGTGAAAGTTTATTACCGGACTCTGAATTGTCCTTCACTGAATCTCTATGTCTTATCCTTATAACAGTACCATACTGTCTTGATTAGAGTTACTGTATTTTAAAAGGCTATACTTTTTCAGTTAGCAGAAAACATTTTAGCTATCATCACAACTGTCTGTAAACCTTCATTAATGCTTGACTTAAATTCCAAGAAGGAGCAACATAAAAAGTCTTATCTCTTTAGGAGTTTTAGTCTTACTACTTTTAGAAGCCTGAATAACCAAATGTATTATTTAGCCTCTTACTAATAACTCCTTGATCCGTAGGGGCATACCAAGAAGAAAAGAAATAGTTTTTAAAAAATGAGAGTGGGCCGGGCATGGTGGCTCATGCCTGTAATCCCAATACTTTGGGAGGCCGAGGCAGGTGGATCACTTGAGGTCAGGAGTTTGAGACCAGCCTAGCTAACATGGCAAAACCCTGTCTCTACTAAAAATATAAAAATTAGCCGGGCATGGTGACACATGCCTGTAATCTCAGCTACTCAGGAGGCTAAGGCAGCAGAATCACTTGAATCCGGGAGGTGGAGGTTGCAGTGATCCGAGGTTGCATTACTGGGTTAAAGAGTGAGAATCTGTCTCAAAAAAAAAGAGAGTGGGGAAAAAAAATGTATGCCAGAACTTAAATTATAATTTTAAAAAAATAGTGAACTTTCTAATTGTTCTCTTCAGATAATATAATGTTATTCTCATGTTTTATTGCGTACCAGATGCTGTTCTTCGTGCTTGTATGTTAAATCTTTTATTGTCTAACATTTCTTTCAAGCAAGTTCTGTTTGTATCTGCACTGTGTGTATTAGGCGGCTTGGGCAAAGAAAAGTTAAGTAATTTGCCCAAACTCACGTGTCTAGTAAATAACAGGCCTGGCTATCTGGTGTTTAAGCTTCTAGCAGTGCTTTGAATAGTAACTAATGCATAGTGTATGCCTCACTGTTCAATCAGTGATTCATTAGAACTAACTTCATGACCTGCTCATAGCCCCAGACTGCATTTGTTCACAAATATCTGTAGTCCTTCATTGAGGCAGAAATAGGAATACCTTGTGTGTTTGTTGTTCATTCCCTTGTGAGCCATATGCAGGCTACAGATAGCTTTATTTGTGTAAGATTTAGTAGAGACAGGGTTTCTCCATGTTGGCCAGGCTGGTCTCGAACTCCTAACCTCAGGTGATTTACCTGCCTCAGCCTCCCAAAGTGCCGGGATTACAGGTGTGAGACACTGCGCCCGGCCTGTATGTCTTCTTTTGAGAAATGTCTATTC